TTTGTAACCATAAAATTGAATAAAGGATGTTAAACAAAGAACACAAACGTTTGTTATTTATTATATTCAACAAATGGTGAACACCAGATTGTTGTTAAAAAAATCACATAAAACAGCTAATAAATGAAAAAGTAGAACGAGCGTAATAAAAACGATAATCATGTCATACTAATTACTTAGAAGCAAATAAATTTAAAAAGAAATTGTCGGTTCAAAGAGCGAATTGCCATGCAGCCTAACCCAAATTTAGGTATCGAACATAGAAAACGAAGTCATGCTCGTACTAGTGATATGAGCAATTTGGGCGGCCTCGTAATTTCTCCCGTAATAAGTGAAGTATCGTCCGCTAACCAGTGACAATGGCAAAAATTAACACGTCTAAAATACAGCAGTCGTTCACCCTAGTAGCTTTTAGTCAGGGTTGCCATGCCTTTGCGACCTCGTTTCTACCGCGTCTGGAAATGAGTCAGATTTTTCTTGTTCCTTTAGTTCGAAGCTCATTGGTTAAACTTCCCCTGATTAATATCTACCTACGGCTACAAGCATTTTGCGTTTGTTTTTTGCTACACACGTTGGGTTAGATGCATAAGATTCATTTTCGTAGTCATGTTTATTTTGCGACTTATTTCCAGTCGCGGAATATCGAGTGTTAGGTCATGCCTATAATTTTTTATACCAAGATCCAAATTTTTTGTGCCAATTTGGGTACGGAATTAATAAACTGGATAACGAAAAGGCTCTAGGTCATTAATTTATACATTGGAATTCACATTTTTGGGTCATAGACCGAATCTATTCGCTCGTAGAATCTCAACTAATTCCTCCACGTTTCGTTCTGAGATACTGCGAAACATAAATTTGAAATTCAAATTCCTTGAGAATTTTCAATGTCATTCATATGAATTATTTAAAAGCAGTGCTATAAACATTTACTACACATTTTCATAATGACTAATTCTTTTTTTACAATAACGTTTTCTATTTTAATTTACAATTTCGCCGTTAATTTGTTTAAGTGATGTACTGTGATTTATTATTTGACATAAATGGACATAAACAATTATTCTCAAAACAATGTTTTTATTGTAACTCCATATTCCAGCAAATTTTTAATACTCAGAAGGTTACAAGAACATGGTCAATAATTATTGATACAAAACCATTGACTTACAAATAAATGGACGACGGGTCTAATACAAAAACCACGAAAAAAATGTCCCAAGTCAACCTATTTAAACGTAGTGACATGTCAAGGAATATGAGAAAGCTAAAACGTTGAATTTAAATTGTAATGTCATCGTACTGTCTAATTTTGCTTGCTTCGCTGTCAGTCGAACAAACGAAGACTAGAGCGTGAATGACGCTCTGTATACGATTTTAACACCCTATAAGTTCGGACACTTTTTAGCGCGAACCCGACGTCCATATAATTGTAAGTCAATGTACAAAACGAATCATATATTGTGCCAATAAAAAAACGTGTTATTCAATAAAATAAATATTACAGTTAATATAGCTATGTCTCTGTCAATAAACAAGTACTAAGCAGCCAATACAAGTACCATTTACTATTATATTATAACCCAAATTTTTGTGTAAAATAATTTCATTTTTTATCATACATAGTGACGGGACGAACGAGTAGTGCAGTGCCATCCAAAGCTTTAAATCACAAAGATCTGAGTGGCACTGCCATTGCACCCCTGAGACATAAGTTTAACAAGTCCCTTGTGCCTGTAATTTCACCATTCAAAACCGGAACGCAGTAATGCATAGCAGAAATAAGTAAAGTGGCAGAACTTGCCTGGACGAACTCTTTCACAAGGAGCTGGAGCTCTACTGCTGATAGTCAGTAAAACAATGCGTTTGCATTTCATGTGTTTTGTTTTCTTTAGTAATGAAATTTTGATCATCACGAGGAATCCGCTGAGTGCGTAAGTTTCCGACAACGACTGACGTCCACAACGCGGTGGCGACACGGGCGCGGCGTCAAATGTCAGGGGGCACAAAGCCACCACCTGCATACCTGCCTAATAAAACACATAGAGCCGGACGTCAACCTTTGACCAATGAATAATTTTATGTGTAATTCGCAATTCCCATTCGTTTTCGAATTTTGTTTAATTATTTGATTCCTATTTAATATTCAACTCAATAATTTTACTAAAATTCATAACACGTTATCATGCATCAATAAAATAAGTACTTTATTTGTAACAGCAGTAAGATCAAGGTTCAGGCATAGTAAAATAATATAAATATGGTGTTTAAGTCCGTACAAGTAACAGCGCGACTTGTTTGTGTGCACGGCCACCGCGCGCCGTGTACGGACGCACACATTCGCATAATAATGAAAGGCGCATGGGATCAACGACCAGTGATATGCAACGCGAGTGCATGGCGAGAATATGCGAATATGTGCGTCCGTGCACGGCATGCGGCGGGCACGCACTCACACAAGCCGCGTTGCTACGTTTGTAATGAGTTCACATACTTGTATTATAATATGGTTCAGAATTATGTTAGCTGCGACTCTATAACATGTATAAATGGTTATACTAAATTCATTTATCTGTTTTCATAAGATTGTTCTAGTTAGTAGCAGTAGAGCTCCTTGTGAAAGAGTTCGTCCGGGGAAGTACTGCCATCTCACCTATTTCTGCCACCAAGCTTTAATGTCAGTATTTTGAAAGGGTAAGGTTGCTTGTGAAATTACAGGCACATGAGACTTGTCCGAAGTCTTTGCGATTTAAAACCCTGAGTGGCACTGCAACCGTTATGGACAGGCGTGTTGCTTAACACCAGACGCAAAACTTGTTCGCCTCATCACTTGATACCATAAAAATAAGTATATTATAATAATAATGTACCATACAACCACACTAATTACCTGAACTCAGAAAATTCCCTGTATTTCAAGTATCAGACCACCGGAGCTCAACCCAGGACACCTATTATATTATGATCAGACTCTCGTTAAGACGAGGTGCATATGGCACTAGTTAGGAATTAAGCAAACCTAACCCTATAGAGATGAATAACCGTATACAAAAATTTGCTATCCTGTGACGATGTGCATCTCTAGAACGCATATCTACAAACATGGTGCCCCTAATGATTTTGGTACTGTAGCGTCCTAGAACTACACGGTATATATAATGCGGGTATATATAGTATTCATCCACCATTTTTTTATATTTGAATTAAAAAAAAATTAAAATAAGTCATGAAAAAATACATTTTTTGTTACTTTAGTCCGTAATTATTTACGGCTTTATATACTTAACGTCTAAACTTTTGTATTTTATTGTTCTTTAAAAATATACATAATCGGTTCATAATTTATCGTAATTCATATCTATTAATAAACATTATTATCTCAACGTATTAACAATGAACAGGCGCCAGTTGTAACGTAGCGACTCTATTTATTTCATTTATCAATAATGGGTCTGGGTGCCAGTCATTGATTACGTCGATGTCGGACCTAATGACTTTGAACTCTGCTGAGTATGAACTGAACTCTATATTTGTATAATTAAAAAAAAAAGCGAAAGCGGTTTTATACAGGCTGTTAAATTTGTCGCATTATACTGGAAAGGGGGTGTTTTCATGTGAACAATTTTGATTGCGCGGAACCGTGTGAAACCGACCTTAATGTATAATTGTACTTACTCAAAATAATAAACATGTGCCATACAATCACACTATTGCCTGGTCTCAAACTAGGGAATTCCTTGCACAATGAGTACCGTAGCAACGGAATTCCCAACCCAGACCACAACCAATTTAGAAAATTTCATTTCCCAAATTGGTCCTGTCGGGAATCGAATCTGGGACTTCGTCATCCAGTGCCCACCGTGCAAACCATTGGACTGCCAAGGTCGTCAATAAAAAAATAGGGAATCATCCCCCTTGTGTAACGTAATTAAGGTGACATCTGACATATCTAGTTCTAATTTTCCAAAATAGTAGTGGATTCATGAATTCTTATTATTATATTAATATTAATTCGTATTATTACACAATGAAAACCGAGCTTTTAGAATTTGCCAAAGAAATCTTAATACATTGCATTACTGTAATTCAGTAACGCTTAAAATTTTATATATGAGTAGGTAACTGTACACAAGTACGCAAATTTTACACACACGATTTTACACGTATACATTATTACGTACTACTAAGTAATTCAATATCAATGAATTACACTCAAAAGCAAAATCGAAAGGAGGCACAGTTTACTCAGCTGTACTACGTACGTAATATACAGCGTGTTTTATTTTTGCAACTTCTAAATTGCAATTCTTACAGTAAGTACTTAAGTTAGAAGCTTCAGTTGCTACCTGAGTTTACTGATCTCATCGTACTTAGTGTTGAATGGAACTACATCACTTCAAACGTTATAATTTACTAGTTTCACACATAAAAGAGTTTATCCTGTTAATAAATTACACAAAAAACATTAAAGCTATTGTTATTTTGCAAAAAACTACTTACATCACAAACGACAGAATTTGTCATATTTCGGTTCAAGTTGTGTATACACTGACCTACCTATTTCGTATCATTCTGTTCATCGTTGGAATGGTAATGATAATACTTTACATTTTAAAAAAAATTTTCACACTTATTTCTCCGCAACCTGTATAAATGTTACTAGGTCAAAATGGGAGTATGTGCTTGAAGAAGTATATTAACCACCGATTAGGCACGTAATACTGAGATGAAATTGGGTTGTATAAATAAAATGTTTGGGTTTACGTTACGACTTACCGCGGTTACGAACTTTGTTTAGGCGGACTTTTCATCGGAGATATTGGCATTAATTATTGCAGGTCGTAAAAGTATTTTACTTCAGTTTTTTAAATTTCCGTTAGTGTAGATTACTTTTTAACTTTATTAATAGATCCAAAATCTCTAAGTGCTCGTTACAAATTGATCATAATTTTGTGTAGCCCATAAATATAATAGCCCAAAAATATAAAGCTGATACTTACTGGAGTCAAATAATAGCCATGGTGCGCGCAGACAGACACCAGACTTCAATCAGTAAAAAGTGAAATTTCGCGCTAGTGACTTTGATCACTCGCCGGAAAAACGTGGAGACAGTTCACGATTCGCGCCAAATATAAAACAGAACACGTGCTTTTTGAGATTGATATATTCAATTTTTCTGTAAGACAGTCCGTTTTAAGTGAAGAATATTCGATATTTTCGGTTTTATTTTATAGATGCTGCGTGCGGTGGAGTGGTGCGGCAGCGCGGGACAAGCGCGCGGCGCGGCAAGTAGCGTGCCACTGACTGCGCGCGCGTTCACCCGATCGCTCCCTCTTCTCTTCCAATTTTAAATATCGAACACTTGCGTTGCGTATGCTTTTCCGAGAGTAGGTATAGGCGCTGTAGATGCCCGCCCATAATAACTGAGTTTACACACAAAGATCTCTGTTTCGCGCTTCATACGGTAATGTACAACTCCCGTCTTCACCATGTGAACTGTCGGTATCGCCTATTTCCGGGCCTACGATTACCACTGCCACTGCTTAATTACTGGAACCTTCGTGGTCTTCAGCACTGCCATGTTTATAACTGTAGGGGAGCCATCTTTAACCCGGCCACAATTCACAAATGCTTGCACAGAGCTGCTAAACCAATTTTGTATCTCTTTCGTCAAATAATTTGAACGTACGCAGTGTTGCTAATACTCCTGGGCCCCGATCGCAGTAGTAGTACAACTCCTTGTGAAAGAGTTCGTCCAGGGAAGTACTGCCACCATACTTATTTCTGCCCCCAAGCAGTAATGCTCACATTACTGCGTACTGGCTTTGAAAGGTAACGGTGCTGGTGAAATTATAGGCACATGGGACTTGTCAACTTCATGTCTGAGGGTGACGGGCGCAGTGGCAGTGCCCCTAAAAATATTTTAAATTTAAATCTCTGAGTGGGACTGCAACTGTTATGGATAGGCGTGTCACTTACCATCAGGTGCACGACTTGCTAGTTCCGTCACTCGATATCATAAAAAAAATCACCCACCCTTTGCTTCGACTGCAGTGTAACTGCACGGCTGTTGTGGCTCTAGCGTCGGCGGAACACGGTGTGGCCTAACCTTGGCGAAATCAAAGAGAAGACTCAGTCCACATAAAATTTATTAATAAGATGAGGTTAAAAAAACAAGAAGAAAGGCTGTAACAAAAAATAGACTAATATAAAAACAGGCACAATAGTATAAACACACTCTCTATAGATAAATCATAACAAAAAGTGGACTTACCCAAAAAGGGCCTGTATTTGTATGAATATTCGATGCTTTATAAGCAGTTTATGTTTCATAAGGTTTACATGATTAAGGTTATATGACGCACACGTCCTTTCTCTTCGAGAATTTTGATGGGAGTGACAACGGAACGAAGCAACGTAAGAATGACGAAGAAATAGAAGTGGCCAGGAACCAGAAAAAGGGGTGATAAAAGGTGGCATGACGTCGCATAGTCACAACGGTACCTCAGGTGCACCCGTGGTCTACCCGCCCGTTCCTATATAATGGGTACAGACAGTGTTAATTCGCCTGGTACCTACCCGAATTATGCCACTTACACGTCCGACTTCCATAGTATTTCATTCGCATGCCGCCCACTCTAGTGCCGATAATGCACCGAGCTCACATGGTGCTACTCATTAATCCGTATCGTGCTCAAAAGCTTCATTCTTTTACTTTCTTTACCTTTTGCCTTTCTTTTGCCGCCTATCTTCATTGCTTGCGATATAAGATGCCGCCGAACGACGAACTGGCTCGTTTAAAAAGATTTACTACTAGACAAGTTCATGATTTTTCACCGTCGGAGAACCTAAAAGCACTAAATGCGTTTTGCGTAGAGCAGCGCGCCGGGCGGTTTGCGTGTTTGCAGTGAGATATGTAAGGTATATTGAAGAACATTTTTATTTTTGTACTTATATATAGAATTTCAATATCTACCCCTATGTACTATTATTTATTTATTGCATAATAAATAGTGCATTGAAAGGCTTCCTTTACAAACATGGGCCCTGTTAGAATATTGCAATTTAAGTGTATGCTTTCCATCTCTAATATGCTTATATGTTATGAATACTCTAAAAAAGATCTTATAATACTGTAATCAAAAAAATTTAAAACTGCGCTAACGAACGGATGTTTTTTGCATTGCTACCGTTTACCCAATTTCCTTTTCAGTAAGTCTTATCATATCACTATCGAAATTGGTTTTACGAGGCCTATTTTGTTCTTTTCATAATTGTAACTTTATCATTCAAATAAAAAACCGACCTCAAAAGCTTGCTTAACGTCTTTTTTCGATTTCCATGGGGTGCCCTTATTAGATTCTTCGTGGTGACAATGAGACTGTTACGGACTCCTTTGTACATTTCATACTTTTTTGTGGTTGTCATGGTGACGGTGACTTAACACTCATCATACTTCCTCTCTATCTACTAGGGAAACCCAGTGTCGCGGGTGCCATGGACACACACGTAGACAACTACAAATTACATCCAAAATCACGACAAAAATAAATGTAGGTATTTGTTGATTACATGTATTGTGTCAATGAAAAGTCGATTTTTATTTGCGATTTTTTTTTATTTGTGATAGCCGACACGAATCGAGAAGAGCATTTTCGGCATCAAGAACCACCTAGAAAGTATACCCTTTCAAGTAAAAAAAGAATTTTCAAAATCGGTTCACAATTGACCGAGGAATCGGTAGGACACTGACATACCCGTAAAGTTTGAGAATTTTTCTCGATTTCCATGGATTCCCTCATCAGATTATGACTTGGAGACAATGGGACTACCACGAGAGAGCACCCTTTCAAATAAATAAACAAATAAATCGGTCCACAATTGACGGAGAAATCGGAAAACATACATACAGCCGAAAGTATAATCTCCTCCTTTTTTGAAGTCGCTTAAAAATTGCCACGCTATGCGCCACCTATAGTAACTGACCACAACAACGCGAAGAAATTACCTTCCTTCGCCTTTAGTGTGCCCTACTGCATGGAATTTATGCAGCTGCCAGTCGTCCGGCCAAAGCATCACACATCCCTACTTGTAAAACTAATCTCTGATAAGAACTCTCCTTATCTCATTAAGTGTCGTATTCTAGAACTCTACTCAATACTCAAGTCAGGATTTTAGTATGGTTTAAAGCAGTCATCATACTCAAGTCCCTGCCATTAGGGTCGTATTTCCAGTGCTTGTGTTTCCAGTGCAATCCTGACTTGAGCATTGAGTAGAGTTCTAGAATACGACCCTAAGAACCCATGGAGCTGATTTCGCTTTGTGTAGATAAACTACTCCACTCACATGTTTACTTTGCCGTTGGACTTTTTAGTGAATAAGGTTTATTATTCTTTAATTTATTTGGACTTAAACTAAAGAATCCTTAAATGTAAAAGAGATTTTTTTTAAACAAACTAAGGCAACAAGGAACTAATGAATTATCTTTATGAGGATAGAAAATTTAATAAAAGTGATAAACGATAAATATATACAATAATTTAATATTTAATATAAAAAATTGGCTTTATTTGACATGCAAAATACATAAATTTCAAACATTAAACAAAGAAGTATAATAAACAAACCAATAAAAAAAAATTCAGTTGAAATAAAAAAGCGTGTCGTAAGGGTCCACGAGTCAGCATCTGAGGCCCATGCTAAGTACTTACATAGCCTTCGCTACTATTCTGCTAATAATTTGGAATACCACAATTCAAATATACCGGTGGAAATTTGTAATGCCACCTGGAGGGAAAGTACTCTAAATACTGGAGATAGAAATTTTTACTTAAAGGAAACATTCCTTTATTTTTTAAAAGAAATAAAACTGCATTCATAGATTTTCACCATCAAAATTAACAGAATAAATAACACAAAACTAACTACCACAAACACAACAATAAACATGTCTACCATTTGCTGTTACTTTTTTAAACACCGAGCAACCGTTTCAATTCTATAAATTAATAGCGAGTGTGACGGCTCACGCTATGCAACACGAGTGTACTGCGAGATTAAGCGAATGTGTGCGTCCGTATACATCGCGCAGCGGGCGTACACACATATAAGCCGCGCTACTACGTTTGTACGGAGTTACCATACTTATCTTATTACGCTATGGTAATACCCTCTTCTTTGAGGAAAACATCATCAACCCATTTACACGACCCACTACTTTGCACAAGTCTCCTCACAGGCGAGGGTTTAAACTATACTCCGCCACCGTCACACGTCTTCCGAGGATTATGAATCTTCTTCGTCGTGCAGGTGTCAATACGATGTTTTCCTTCACCGAAAAGCTCATGTTAAATTTCAAATTAAATTTCGCACATATCGCACTGCTAATACAATAGTGTATTAACTCTAAAAATTAATTTATTTAGAATAGCTGAAAAATTAGTCAGTTCTCGTGAAAGATTATAATTTATGCACAGGTTACAATTTATTGAACACCTACAACTCCTACTTGCCAATTAGAAGTTTATTTAAAAATAAAAGTAAAAAATAATTTCACATTTTTCCGTAAGTACCGTTTTGTCCAGAAGTAGTTTACAAAACGTTTATCTCATTCTGGGTTAAATAGATATATTTTAATGGCTTCTTGCAATATTCTAGCGACAACTTTATTGACGTGTAGAGAAACAAATTTCACGTTCAAAATGGTATAATCTTGGATTTCACATATTTTGACTTATAACACTATAGCAGTGCGATATATTCTGAAAAACTCAGATATGTGAGCCCGGTGTCCAACCCACGGCCTCTGCTTGAAAGGTGGTAGGTGAAACCATTAGGCTACCATGGCTTTTTTAAGGAAAACCTATTCAAATTATGGCTTAGTATTTTGCTTAACAGACCCCTGTTTCCCTTACTCACCACAAATTGATATGCAAGGATGTGTCTAAATAGGCCGTTATTCGAAGGTCGTGTGACAGACGATGACATCACCAATACTCATTTCTACAACGACTCTACGGGGTCGTAAATCAATACCATAAAGAGACTTATGAGTGATTTAAAATGTCAGGCACGGACGCGACCCAGGCGTTGTCCATCTAATGGGTAGGTAATGAATAAGTACGTGCAAGTTGTCATGCAAAACGTAATTATTAATACTTTATAGTGTGAACGTCCACGCTACAGCTTTGTCTATAATAATTTGTTATACTGAACATGTTTTTATAAGTTTTTGCGATTGTTGCACGTAGCAAAAGAAACTCCTATTTTCGGATCTAA